CATTATTTACTTGCACAATTGAAGATCCTTTCATAAATAAATACAATAGGATTTTTTTCAACCAAGTATGACTTAACCACTTGGATTCCATTATTTCAACCGGAAATGTAGTTAATTAACAACATGAAAAACTCATTTTTAGTGCTGAAATATCCATAAATTGTGCCCCTATCAAATACTAAGTATATTTCTTCCCATTCAAGTTGACTCATTTTTAGAATACAAGGACAGATAGACATATATAATGGAGAAAAACTGAAAAATACTTAGGAGTTGGTTGTAACTCCAGGGGGAAAATATGTTCCCAGCTGGGAGCAAATAAACCTTTGAAGCCAAAATTAGTCAAAGGGAGAAATAAAGTGGGAGAAACCCTTTTATTGTGTACAAGCAGTCACCTACTCCTCCTCACCCATGTCTCTCATGGCTTGGCTGCCAAGGGCCCACCAAACCTCTCCAGTCCAGGTGCACGCTTGTGTTCCAACCCTACCCACCTGTAATCACCTAGTGACATGGAAATGGACTACTTCTCCCAACCCCTCAGAAATGCTTACTGATATGGAGATGCACGAAGAAGGCCAGGTGAGAAATTCCAGAAATACTGCAATTTTACCTACAGTGCACCCCTCCAGAAATCTCACCTCACAATCTATTCATTCCCCATCTTCTGCAATGGCCCCTGTGTAAGATTACTGGAGCACTGTAACCAGACTAATAACATACAATAACAACAGCAATAAAATTATTATAATTCTCAAGCCAGAGGATTCATCTAAGTTCAAAGTCCTATGCAGATTAAGTCTGTAGCTTCCCCACTCCAGCAGGCAGTAGCTGAAGAGGTAGAAAGTTCAGAGCAGTCATCACGTGGCAGCTCAAGTCAGGGGGTGGGGCCAGGCTACAGGGACTGTAAAGGAAACTAACTTTAAAGGTGATAAGATACATGCTTTAATGACACCAGCATTGGTAAATCTTGTCCATCAGGTTGCAGGAAAGAGAGTGGTCCTGTGATAGGACAGTGACAGTAATGAGATCTCATCCTGGTTTAGATGCAAAAGCCATGTAGGCAGAGGTTCCAAAGGCTTCTATCAAACCCAGGCTGTCAGCCCCATCCCTGAGGGAGTTACAGATGGGTCAATACAAAGGGCTACGGGAAGTACATGCACTGCCCATTAAGATAAAATAAAAGTTCCCCACACCAAGTGACCCTGGCTTTAATAGATGGCAAGGGATCTTGTTCCTTAGATCCATCCTTTGCAATTAAATGTAAGCCATCCTTGAATAAAACTGGAATTTTTTATTTTAAATCCTCCACCATCTCCCAGGCTGAGGCCACTGCTCTCTCCTCCCCATCCCCCAAAGCCTCCTGCAGCACTGATTCTCCAGCTGCCTCCCCTCTGACTGCTAACACATCTTCCAGGAGCATGACCTGTCTTCTCAGTAACGGCCTCTCTTTCTAAGGGCATCCCACAGGTCATCACCCAGCTCCTCCAAGTGACACTGAAGTGTGGCTCTCTCCTCAAAAACCCTTTTCAATAAGAGCATAATAAGATGCTCTTATCTCCCAAATGTTTTGGTTACACTACTGTGATCTTTGGGGGCCATTCTACAGTTACTCCAGGAACACAGAAGAGGGAAGATTCCAGGCCTTTTCCCCAAGGTGCCAGGAGGGCCAGTCACTGCTGGTCCATGTGTCGGAATGTCCAGGGCCACATCCACTCAAGAGTCTCCAGGGTTTAACACAGTTGGGATTGACAGGAGGATGTTGCTCTGCTGGCTGTATCATGGCTTCAGTAACTCCTCTTTGGTTTGCACATACAGTTGTATAGGAGAGGCAGCAGTGGGTGTTAGCATACCCACAGGGCTCAAGGCTCCTTTTCAGGGCTTCTCATTCAAACACCGTAACACTATCCATAAGGAAACTGAATAGTCCTGTAAACCATTGGTGTCTGACTTCAGGTCAGATTTCAACAAACCATTGTACCTCTCTATCATGCCTACACTGGTAGGGTTATATGGTACATGAAACTTCCATTTTATTCCTGCTTGCTGGGCCCATTCTTGTAACGCATGTCCAGTAAAGTGGGTGCCTTGATCTTTCTCAATCACCTGTGGCCAGCCATAGGCTGCAAAGGGACACTCTAGGCCCCTATTAATGGTTTGTTGATCTGCATGACATGCAGAAAAAGCAACCAACAGACCAGTAGCTGTGTCCACACAAGTCATGGCATACCAGTATCCTTCTGATATGGGCAGAGGCCCAATATAGCCTATCTGCCACCTTACAAGGCTTATTGGCCCCCTTACTATTGTCCCATGTTGCTGCGGGACTTAGTGTAAGTCCCTCTTAGAGCACACAAGGCACTCCTTCCTGGCTCAGCTTACTTCTTCAAAGGTCAACCGCAAGCCCCACAGAAGGGCTAGAGCCTACATTGTCTTTTGCCCCACATGCAACAAACGGTGATGTAACCATTGGGCCACATCAGAGGTGGGCTTTCCTTCCAGCCAGCACACCTGGGCCAATGTGTCTGCTTCATCATTCCCTGGGGATGCCAAAAGCACTTTACAACCACTGCCAGAGAAAAGGGTGAGTCATCAGGGAAACCAGTCTGCCCATTTCAGAACCCAACATAACAACATTTCCACCCCCACATCCCAGAGATGCAAAAGCCATGTAGGCAGAGGTTCCAAAGGCTTCTACCAAAACCGGATGCTAGTGTCCACCAGCTCATCCTGGGTGTAGGGGCGGAGCGTGGAGGGCTCCACAGCCTGGGGAGCAGGCAGCTCCTCCCCCAGAGGAGCCACAGTTGTGTTTTTATCTTCTTAATTACAACCGAAAGACCTTTAATATGGGAGAGGCTGGGCCTCTGGTGGTTGTCTTGGCAACAGTTCTGCCCTCAGCTTCACCACCTCACCCTCTGCCAACGCTGATTCTCCAGCTGCCTCCTCCCTCACTGCTAACATACTTTCCAGGAGCATGAACTGTCTTCTCAGAAACTGTCTTTTTTAAGGGCATCCCATAGGTCATTGCCCAGCCCCTCCAAGCAACACCAAAGTGTGTCTCTCTACTCGATAACCCTTTCCAATATCTCGAGAAACAAATATGCCAGAATTCCAGCTGCCACAGGGCCACTCAGGGCCTCTAAGCAGTCTTCTATCTCATATGGGCTAATTTCATAGCTTGCGGTGTCCCTACCCTTCCCCAATTTTAGGGAAGCCCCACCCATCTAGGAGGTGCTTTACCCTAGACCAGTTCCCCACTTGGGCTCCCCAAGAGGAAGCCCCATGGATAGGGGGCTCCTGGGTGAAGCTGCACCCTCCACAGCTGCCAGAGGGAAGGGTGAGTTGTCATTCTCCACCACAGCGGCCACTGAGGGTTTTCCATGTATCCCCCCACCATCTCTAGGGGCAGCCCACCCAAGGGTCACACCCATGAAGGCAGATTTCAAGTTCAGAGGTCCTGCCGACTACCACCAGATGTAACTCTAGGGAGAAAAATAAGTTCCCAGCTCCAGGCAAATAACCCTTGAAGCTGAAAACAGTCAAAGGGACTGTCTTTTGGGACCCGGCTGCCAAGGCCCCACCAAACCTCTCTTGTCCCAGTGCCCACTCACTCTCCACCCACCTTTTAAACACCTCTTAGTATGAAGATGGACTACTTTTCTCCACTGCTTGAAAACACCTATTGATATGGAGATACACTAAGACCAAGTGAGAGATTCTGGAAATATTTCAATTTTACCCTGAGCTATCACAGACTTAGAAAAGACAACTAGGGATGATCCTTTCTTAATTGTCAGACGTGGCACTTTATTCAGAAAAATAGAGGAGAAATACATCAGAGAAGACAGCAGTAAGAAAACAGGCCCATATGTAGTATAGCAGCAGAGGTTCATTCCCCAAAAATGGGCCATCCAGGGTGGGGTGACTGAAAGGGCAACAAGCCCAGCCAAGGGGGATAAAGGGCTCTCCCTCAAGGAACAGAGTTCTTCCATCACTCAAGTCGTGAGACAAACCAGTTACCTTAGTTCTCTTTCTGTGGACATATACTCTCATTTTCCAGGTGGGTTTGTGACCAAACAAAAGGGGTCTGAATCTCGGTGAGTGCCAGCTGTCTGATTAGCACCCTTGTACCAGTCTCTTGAGAGTGTTTGCAGCTCATAAGACTCCACCACGCCAGACTGTAAGGGAAGTTATCACTTGAAGCAAGTAAGGAGGAAATGGGGATAGTTTGTCTCCGTGACAGCTTTTTTATAGGCACAAATAACAGTACAATTCTGGATGGTGCATAAATTATGCAAGGGGACTGAAAAAATAAAATCCTGATTGGTGTTCAGAAGAGGGGTAAGGTTTGGCCACAGCTCTCAGTCCCTGGCTACAGGGAGGGGCCTCGAGGCAGCAGCAAGGGGAGGTCTACAAGTGCAGATGCCAGCTGCTGGCTGCCTGATATCTGCTGCTCTGGACCATCTTGTTTACAATGTAACTCAGCAGAGAATGACAACTTTAACTCTAATTTCCCCACTAATGCTTTTTCATGCTTCATTCAATATATGTATTAGATTATCATTTCTCTGGGATCTCACTTGTTATTTGAAAGTACTTGAATCACTTTAACTAAAGAACACATATTTATACAATTATTTCCCATTATACTGGATATATCAGGTAACAAGTCCTGTACATTACCCCTTTAATCAATTTATTCAGGTTTCCTTTGAAGCATTATCAATATTACTAAATACTGGATAAATAATAAGCATATCTATCCTAAAATGATTCTCAGCAAATATATTGAGCTATATGCATTCATTAAAACACATAATAACTAAAATATTTTTATAATAGACCAATGGAGGAAAGGGTAACACAAAAGCTTTAAGATTGATTATGCAGGCCTCAATAGACTGATTTTGGAATGTATAATTTAACATAAAACCTATACAAGGAGTGTTTTTTCTTTAACTTTGAATCTTAGGAATATCTTAGGACAAATCTGAAATAGATCTTTATAATTTTCCTGAATAAAACTTTGATATAACTTTCTTCATAACTTTCATTACCCGTTTGTTTCTAAGACTGTGGATCATAGGATTCAAGAATGAAGGAACTATGGTATAAAACACAGAAAGAATCATGTCTTGGAAGGTTTCAGAAGTCACTGAAGGCCATAGGTACACATAGGCACCAGAACTGAGAAAGGCAGACACCACCAGGAGGTGAGGGACACAGGTGGAAAAGGCCTTTCCTCTCTCCCTGGTTGGAAACTTAAGCACAGTAGAAAATATGCGGACGTATGACATGGTGATGTACACAAAGCAGCCACCACCAATCCCCATGGCTGGGACAAGAACTAAGAGGATGTTACTGAAGGAGTCGGAGCAGGAGAGCCTCAGCAGAGAGGGGATGTCACAGAAGAACAGGTGGACCACGTTGGACTGACAGAAGGACAGCTGGAATGTGTTCCCTGTGTGCACAGCTGCATAGGTGAGACCACTGAGAAGGAAGACCAGTGTCATACGGACACAGAAATAGTACTTCATGATGACTGGGTAGCGGAGGGACTGGCAGATGGCCACATAGTGGTCACGGGCCATGATGGTGAGGAGCAGAAGCTCCACATATATGCAGTAAAGGAGCAGGAAGATCTGAGCTGCCCAGCCAGCCATTGAAATGGCCCTGTTGTCAGTGAGGGAGTTGACACAGGCTTTGGGAACAGTGACAGAAATGTAGCACACGTCTAAGATGGACAGGTTCCTGAGGAAGAAGTACATGAGTGTGTGAAGGCTCTGGTCCAGAGTGGTGGCAGTGACGATGAGGAGATTCCCTACAAGGTGGCCAAGTACATCAGTAGGAATAACATGGTAAGTAGGAACCTAAGCTCCCAAACATCAGCAAAAGCACTGAGGAGAAACTCAGCCAGCATGGTGGAATTAGTCATTTCCTGAAATGATGGCTGATCTGAAAAAACAAAAACATTAAAAACTAGAAAGCATAAAAATAATTAATAAGTTTAAACATTTTCCTTGATGGTGTTTATTTCTATTTTATACAGCTGGCTCTGTATGTTTCTTTTGCTCCGCTCACATTTTATATTACATTTTAGTAGACACATCTTGTAGCAAGTTTTTAATAATAGGGATTTCCAATATAATTATATGAGTATGATTGCTAAATTTCTATAATAATAACATGAAGCTTATTGTTTAAAGATGATGAATTTAACTAATGTAGGGTGAACTCCTGAAATAGATTATCTATATCAGAGATCTCCAGAGAAAGAGAACCAATAGGATATCATATATATATATATATATAAAATGTCTTTTTAATCTACCTATTTTACAACCCCAACACCTCCCCCATGGTAACCACCAGTCACTTCTCAGTGTCTATTAGTCTACTGCTGTTTTGTTCATTTTCTATTGTTTTATTTTTAGATTTTGCATATAAGTGAAATCATATGGTATTTGTCTTTCCTGTCTGGCTTATTTTACTTAGCATAACACCCTCTAGGTCCATTCACGTTGTCATAAATGGAAGGATTTCTTTTTTTTATGGCTATTTGGTTTTATTGCATAAGTATTTGGCTTCATAAATTAGAGTTCACATCTATTCCTCCTAAGAATTCCGTAAGAACTTAATGTATCAGGCAATTTTATGCTGAAGCCAAGAAAGACACAATGAAAACATTTATTTTGAAATAATAAACAAAAAACAATTTTAGGGAATTTCATTTGAATTTCTTTGTGATAGCCAAATACAGTTGAAACAGAATTCAAAAAAGCAAATTTAATGGAAATGTTTTATTATTTAGCTAATTACTGTTTAGCTCCAATCAGCTTTATATATTTGACCATCATTTGTCTCTCTTGAAAAGACTATAACATTAATATAATAATTTTAGAAACATTTTTTAAAATCTATAACAAAAATGCCAAAAGAGAAATACTGAAGAAAGTTCTGAAAATTCTTTTAGTGAAAATCCCTTATATTGTGATTGGGGAAAAAGGGAATCCAACTTTATATAAACACCTCTCAGCAAGTCCTTAAAATTTTTTATACAATTTTAAATTACTTTCATTGTGTGTTTATGTGTGTGTAGTGTGTGTATTCCAACTATTTTATATATTATTGTTGTTTGTTAAATATTAATATCTTTAATCTTCCATGGAAATTCAATACACACAGATCTTTACATTTCTAAGGATATGGTGCACAAAGAATTTTTTACTTTAAGACAAATACTATATGATTTCACTTAAATGTAGAATTTAAAAACAAAGTAATACACACAGGGAACAACAAACACAGACACTGAGAGTAACTGGTGGTTACCATGAGGGAGGGGTTTGGGTGGGTAAAATAGGTAAAGAGAATAAAAAGACACAAAATCTCAGTCATAATATAAATTAGTCATGAGGATGAGAGTACAGCATAGAGAATATAGTCAATAGTTCTGTAACATTGTTCTGTTGACATAAGTAACTACACTAGTTGGGGTGAACATTTAATGTATATATACAACTGTCAAATCACTATGTTCTATACTTGGGCTCTTGTATTGATACTATGTACATTCAACTCAAATTCCAACTTCATTTCCAAAACAAAAATTACATGCCAGAATGAAACGAAAGATTACATGAAAATCATAGTATAAATGAAATGGAAAGAAGGAAGATAGTAATAATAATAATCACAGAATACTCTTAAGTAATATGTGTTCTTAACCTAGAGATGAGAACAAAGCTTTCTTTCATGAACCTCTTCAAATCGGTTTTAAACACAATTTAACCAAGATCCCCTCTGCACACAGGGCTTGAGTCCCGCCTCCCGACGAGCAGAGCGCCGCTCAGGCCCGTCACGTGCCGCCTCCTCTGAGCACGTGTGTCGCCCACGCCATCGGCTCTGCGGCCCCGGGAGCACCGCGCTCACCGCCCAGCGGCACCAGGCTGCCCGCGGGCCGCTCGTGGGAGGTGATGGTCTCCGAGCACAGGTGAGGGGGGCCTGACTCAAGTGCAGACGTGGACACAGAAGTTGAATATCCTGGGCAAATCTGTCGTCCTTAATCACTCTTGCTGTAGACTACAGTATGCATAAAAACTACATATATGTACGTACATGTACCATATATACAAGCTGTATATGATACATATGATTATACCATACATAAAACTGTTTATAACTTTATAAACCATATATAATACATATAACTTTATGAAGTGTTATATATATGCCATATATTCCTTATGTGTATCTACATGTACATAAATGCTTTTGACGCCAAAACTTACTTTACTACAGCCTCTGCATTATCAAATTTTTTTATTTTTTATTTATACCTATTTTTTCTTTTGTATTTAATTACTCATTTTTAATATCTACCGTATTTATACTTCAGTCAAATTGTGTAAATATAAATATATGCTTCTCTATATTTCTATATTATACAGAGAGAAATTGAGAAAAATGGCAATCATTCACCTGAAAACTAAAAAAAATAAAATATTCATAAGGAAAATAGGTTTAGAATAAACTCTTCATGCTCTAAGGTATTATGACATAGACGGCAATAGTGCGATTCCTGGGAGCCTATTTGCTTGGACTCAAGCCCCAGACTTTCCACTGAGAAGCTGAAGGAATATGGATTTTTTTAAATTACTGTGAGTCTTCTCTTATTTTTTAATTACAGCCATTATGAGAATTATGTAAGTTAAAAATCTGTAAATAATGAAATGCTAAAAACTAAATAACTACTGTAAAATACTTTCATAATGACTCTAGTTTAATATCCTTAAGTTTTAAGAGGACATTAATGTTTGTACCTTTCCTGATACCCAGCAGCTGAGGCCTTCTTAGGGACAATGGTGTCATGCTAAGTGATGTATGTCAGAGAAAGACAGTCACCATATGATTTCATTTATATGTGGAAGCTAAAATACAAGCCAAATGAACAAGTAAAACAAAACTCATAGATGCAGAGAACAGATTGGTGCTTATCAATAGTAATAATAGTAATCAGAAAGGAAGTGGGTAGGGAGTGGGCAGAAAGGGTAAAGGAAGTCAATTGTATGTGGATGGATGGCAAGTAACCTTATGTAGTGATCTCTTTGCAGTGTATGCAAACCCAGAATTATGAAGTTATACATCTGAGACTATGAAACAAAAAAAAGGAGCAGAGAGAAGAAGAAAAGGGCAGAGCTGGAATTTAAAAATCACATCTGTCTAATTTCAACACTCATTACAGCCTGTGACTAATCTACTTCCTCTTTTTTACTTAATATTTATGCTATCTATTCAATTTTATCCAAACTGTAACTTCACTATTACAGGCATCCTTAGATGAACTACTGACATTAGCAAGGATTTTTTGGAAAACACTGTTTTATTAAATTTTTCGTTTTTAACCATTTTAAGTGTCAACTTAGTGGCATTGATTGCATTGGTGATGCTATGGATCCTTGGCTAATAACTAATTCCAAACTTTTTAATCATTCCAAATAGAAACTCTGTAACAATTTAAAAATCTGCCACCTGTTCCTGGTAACCTTTAATCTACTTTTTGTCTCTGAAGTTTGTCGTTGCAGATGTTTCATACAAGTAGAATTATATAACTGTCATTTTGTATCTGGCTTATTTCATATTTTCAGAGTATTCATGTTGTAATGTGCAGAGCTTTATTCCACCTTACGGCTCTATAATACACCTTTGCATAGAGGGTAACATCAGCATCCTTGTGGCATATGGGTGCCTCCTATTTGTCCCCCTTTAACAAATAAAATGCAACATCCATCCACAAACAAAAATGCCTCTGTGGGAGTTGTGGGATCAAGAAGCACATGCCTTGCGACTTGAGAAGAGTCTCACCCTCCTCTGAAACAGGTAATAGACACACAAACCCCAGTGTGGGTGGTGAAACTGTCAGGAGCCTGTCAACTGGTCAGTCTGGGAGCAACTGGAGAGCAGTGTTTGGGGAATATCCCCCAAGATGAGAGGGTCTTTGTACAAGTCCAAGTTTTACAGAAAAGAAGTTCCAACAGTCTGTTGGAGAAAAAAAAGTAGATACTAGGTTCTGTATGTATTGGTGTACGTAAGAGGAAATTTACCTCTCTCCCCACAAAAGATGATACTCCTATAATTAAGGAGTCTTGGAAGCCTGGCCATGAGCTACTGCGAAAAACAGCTGCACTTGACCTGCTGGTACGATTAGTGTCCCATCCATCAGCACACACCTCCCTCCACATTGTGGCAGTCTCTCCTTGTTTATCTTCCCAGGGGTGACAGCAAGAGTGAACTTGGAAGACAGGAATTATGTGCACAAAACAAGACGAAGTCTGCAGGCAGGGGGAAAAACAAACATTTGAGCGGTATTAATACCTTTAGGTAATTACAAGAGGTTTGTCCAGTCTCCAGTAAGCTGTGTTGTGAGATAAGAAAAGACATAGAAGCTTAAGAATTGTGCTGTAGAAATGAGCAAGTGTGGAGTAAGCATACTGTGATATAATGAGTTATAAGAAATACACATTTGGTCATTCATAGGACCAAATATATATTTCCCAGGTGTATTTTGTCTTCTGAAAACACAGCAGAGTCTTAAAGGTGAAACAGATGTTTTGTTATGTTAATGAGAGACTTTTGGACCCCCACCCAAGGACAGGGCAGGGGCTGCACACTGAATCAGCCAATGACCAATAATCCAGTCAATCATGACTATGCAATGAAACCCTCACAAAAAAACCTGAGAGGAGAGGAGATTTGTGGGTAAAATTGCAATATTTCCAGAATCTCTCATCTGGCCTTAGTGTACCTTCACATTGATAGGTGTTTCCAAGAGGTGGAGAGAAGTAGACTATCTCCACATCAATAAGTAATTACAAGGGGGAACAAGGGCATATCTGGACCAGAGAGGTTGGTTGGGATCCCTTTTGCAGCTGGGTC